AATGCAATTGTGTATGTGTTATTGTAGAATTGTACATAACTTTTCTATGGGCAGGATTAATGCCATCTCTGGGAGATAAAAAGGAACTTCAAAGAACTTTTTGGGGACAATGCATGTGAAGTGGATTTCCTAGAAAATGCATGAGGGTGATGGGAACACAAATGTCCCACTTCAAATCCATACTTTTGAAGCTATGCCTGGGGTAGAAAAAACAGTTGTCTGCTAATTACCTGCTCTTGGAAACTCCATCTCAAAGACCCCTGAACTTTGTAAAGGGTGGACTAAACATGTCATGAGCAGACTTGTTCTGAGCTGAAGCTGTGATGAACTTGAAACCACTTGGGTGGGATTTAGAAGGACTGTTCCTGCCAGAGCCCAGGGGGTGATATTAGCGAACGTATAGGGTCTTATATTCTTTTTTAGTGTGTTTTCTCCGTAGTGCTTTTACTAGAAGGAAAACCCACGCTTGTCTAGGAAGTGCTCTGTGGTAACTTATAACTGTTGGCAATTACACTGTGTAATGTGTCTGAGGAGAGAGAGCAAGCAGGCCTATTTAGGCACCCTGTCTCTGCTGAGAATAACACAGTGAAGGCAGGGAACTGTTCAGCCTGGAGATACCCCCATCAGAAGGGAGCAAGATGCAGGTCTTCATCCAAGATAGGTGATGGCCTGGGGAGCAGGAAGCTGGAAGCCCTGCTGTACCATAGAGAGAGAGAGAGTGTACTGTTGCCGTTGCCCTGAACAAGTATCCACAATGAAATCAGTGGAGCAACTCTAGGAGTAAGATGCCATTTATGGGAGTGAAGGTGTCCTAATCTAGCCTGCTGTAATTAGCAATGGCCAAATTAATTCGGCTTGAACAAGAACTGACCCAAGCCAGACACCAAAAACTGTACTGTTCTCGGTCATGTCTGCACCTCTGGATTCTGGCTGGGCCTGGAAGAGCTGAAATCTTAGCCAAGAGGCTGTTCTAGCAGGATTTCTAAACCAATTTTGCAGAACAAAAACGTTCATGCTGGGAAGAAAGATAGGCTTGTGGTTAAGGCATCAGACTGGGATGCAAGAGACCTAGGGTGAAATCCTGGTTCCATTGAAGTCCTTGACATTTTATCCTTGATTTCAATGGGACCAGGATTTTAAAACCTAGATTCAGTTTTACTGCAGACTCCTTGAGAGACCTTTCTCCTTTCCATGTAGTCTTTCTGTGCCACTGTTCCCCATCTGTATAGAGAACATCATAATGGTGTGTTGTGCTGATAAAGACATTAGTGGTGGTGAGGTGGTCAAATACTACAATGATGGCAGGCCCAGGGCCAGCTCCAGGCACCAGCGAACCAAGCAGGTGCCTGGGGCGGCAAATGTAAAGGGGTGGCAGGACGTCGGGCTCTGGGGCGGTGGCGGCGATAATTCGGCGGCCACTCCATCACAGTGCGTTTCGCGCTCGGCGGCAAGGACACGACTCTCCTTCACTCTGCCTCCGTGTTTGGCGGGCAGGATTCCACCTCCCCGTTCGGCAGCAAGTTTCGGGTTTTTTTTGCCACTTGGGGAGGCAAAAATGCTGGAGCCGGCCCTGGGCAGGCCACATAAGTAGACAGATATACAGTATTGAGGATTGCTCCTGCTTTGAGCAGGGAGTTGTTCTAGATGACCTCCTGAGGTCCCTCCCAACTCTGATATTCTATGATTCTGTGATTGATAATAGGATTCAAAGATTAGGTTGTTCCTCCACACTGAGCCTTTTTCACATTCATTCACCACTGCTCTTAATATAGTTGCTTTGGGTGCTACCCTGCTGATGCTCTTTTGGCTACATCTCCCCACCCCCCGTCTGCTGAGCGACATCTCACACATAAAACAGTTCTGCTCTTGGATCTCAAACAACCCAGCTCCGCCCAACCCCTCCTTCATTCCAGTGCTAAAAAATGAAAATCAAATATTGTTTTTTCCAAACCAATTTCTGTGCCAGTGGAGCTCCACCAGATCTCTCAATTTATGCAAAAAATTTCACACACTAGCGCATGTCTGAGAAATGTCGTCTCTACCTGTCAGTTTAGTCTTTGTGTTCAGTTAAATTCTAACTCCCAGTGCTCCTTCAGGTACAGTATCTGTAGCTGACAATATTACTTGGCTTATGCATTATGCATTCTCTCTCTCTCTCTCTCCACACGCATATTTCTGAAGAGAAAATGATAGATGACCAAAACCAGGGTGTTTTCCTACCGATGGAATGTGTGGGTAGTAGAAGGCTTTTGAGTGCATAGATCTAGAGGTGGGTGCCAGACAGCATCACAGAGGAAGACACATACATAGGGAACAGCCCTTATTTTCATGACTGTTGCAAGATGGCATATGATTTTTACAGAGCATGTTATGCTGTCCCACAGAGCTGGAAATCATTTCTCCCTGTCTGTTCTCTCCAGGGCTCCCTCTTCCACCGTGGATACTAGAAGTCCTGCGGTTATTCTAACAACAATGTATGCCTCTCCGTTCTCAAAGTAGTTGCAGTGGTGGTGATTTGCATCTGACATCTTAGAAAAAGGTGGCCATTATGAGGGGATTTGCTGAATTATTTGAAAGAATACATCAGGTTAGGGTGCGTGGAACAGGGGATCTGGCTTCTATTTTTTGTTCTGTTAATGACTTACTATGTTACTATGGACAAATCTCTGAACCGCTCAGTTTGCCTCTTTGCAAAATGGGTCTGACAAAACGTGCTGTTCATTGTTCTTTTTGGACCTTCGTCTAGTTGTCTACAGGAGGTGCGTATGCAGCTTTTATTATTGGAGTATTTGAGCACCTCCCAATAATTTATCTATTTATCCTCCCACTAACCTGTGAGGCAGGGGAAAATCCCATTTTACAGATAGGGAATTGCGTCAGAGAAAGATTAAGGCCCAGATTCTCAAAGGTATTTAGGTGCCTAACTCCCATTGGAATCAAGTGACAATGGCACACAGAAAGTCTACAGCAGAATTCAGAATTGAACCCCAATTTCTTGAGTCTGACTCCAGCGTATTAATGAGACCATCCTTCCTCCTGATGCTGCCGTGGGTTTTTTCCCCACTTTGGACAGAAAGATACTTGACTTTCAGAATCTCTTGATGTCAGCCATTTGAACAAAATCCTCATGCTCTGTACCGTCCCCTGCTCCTGTGCCATCACTTCACTCTCTTTAGAGACCCAGAAAAGGGCTATGAGAAGTAGGGATCTCTCTGAACAGAGGCAACTTACACACATTGCAATGAGCGTACGTCTACTTTCCTTCTGGTGGTGGTCAGAGCACAGACGCTGCATGCCCCCCTAGCACGGGTATAAGTAGCAGTGAAGATGAGTGGGCACTGTTTTGGCAAATAAAGATACGCCAGAACCTTATAGCATGTCCTCTATATGGCTCTCCCCTCTACATGACCAAGCAGTGCCTCTCCCCGCCTTCACTGCCATTTTTAGCAGCAGTGTCCTTTGTCTCCCCACTGCCAGAGCCTTTGCCCACTGCCTCCTCCCTGCCAGAGCCTTTCCTTGGCACGTGTAGCTCCGTGCTACAGTGTGGATGCAGCTCGCTTTTCCCTGCAGTGCGTAGCTACATGTGCACTACACGGCACCGCCTGTGGTGTGCTGTGTAGATGTTGCCTTAGTTTCCTCATGTTATGGCCTTTAATGCTTTGTGTGCCATCAGCTTTTTGTGCCAACCATCCATTTACCCTTCTGTCTAGTCCCTTTCCCATCAATAACTGCACTGGATGCTGGTAGCCTAATAGTTCTCTCTGTCTTTCTTTCTTTTTTTTTTTAATAACAAAAACTAGTCCCCTGGTATCAGACCTCCCTGAGCTGGGAGTACGCGAGCCCCTTATCAATCTGCTTTCTCTATGAAACCCGTATTCTACAGGGATTCTAGAATCTATTAGTCTCTCCTCTCTGCGTCTGGTGCTACAGACAGTCTGGAAAAGAAACCACTTGAAAAGAGAGAGCAATGCCAATATCGTTTATGAATTCCTGGCACATTGCTTCACCCTGAAGGCTATATTAAGCAGCAAGGATTTTTAAAACAAAGACCTCTTCTAACCTCACCACAGGCAGTGAATCTGCTGATATATTATTAATTTTATGCACTAACTTCAAATGATCTGACTAAAACACCACTTGTCTTCTCCTTGCACTTGCTTATCATATGACTGCTGCCCCTTCCAGAAATGTCACTTTCCTTCCTTCCCTTGCTGTTTTAAAATATATAAACTCTAAGTCTATTTAAACCACAATAACCCAATTATACTGCACAGAAATAGGGCTAAAGCCAAAAGAAAACCATTATAATCCCTACAATGAAAGTCCACAGCTAACAATTGAGAAAAGAATAAACACTATTTAAATTGTTACATGTTAAGATCTACATCATTTGTAGATAAGAAACAAATTTACATTTTAATGTTAACTATCTGGAAATACTACTTATGTCTTAAAGTATCTGCTGCGTATTACATACTGACATGGCTACAACTGCAGTGCATAGATAGAATAATTCCGTTCACTAAGAATCTCATTCATAATTATATTGTCCAAAGGCAGCCTAAGCATGGGTGAGAGGCATTTTCAATGGGAGAAATTGTATTTGGATCATAATCCAGATATTTAGGGTGGGATTTTCAAAAGAGCTCAGCATTGACCAAACTCTGCTCCCACCAAATATTTTTTTTCTACTTTTTATAGCCTTGGTGCATTCATTTTCAGTTTTACAACAAGGGCTGGATCCTTCTGAAGTCCACGGGGGCAAGATTGGGCTGCAAATTTTGTTCCCTAAAGTCTTGTGGGTGGTCGCAGAAACCTGATACACTTGGAGAGCAGGGAAGAGGTTAATTCAGGTCATGAATGAGGTTGGAAGGGGACCAGCTGGGGCCAATTATGCCCCAAAGAGGCTTGGTGTGTGACCGGCCTGTGTTTGCTGAGGGAGGGAAGAAGGTAGTGCCTTTGGAGAAGGCTTGTGAAAGGATTCAAATGTACTGAGCAGTAGGCTCGAGCAAGTAGCAAAGGGAGGAGTGGGATTTGATTACTGGAGTGGCCTAGTTTTCAGGCAGTTTTTGCTTCTCTAGAGGGAGACTGGCTGGAGCAAGCCATCCTCTTTTTATTCCTTTGTTTTGTCTGGATTGGGGTGCAGAAACTTCTCATTTGTGGAACTCTTTTGAAGCCGAGAAGGGGAGGACGTTTTCTGCTTTGACTTGAGGGACAAGCTACCCTACCTGCTGGAGAGACACTGAGGCAGCAACTTCACCATTCAGAAAGAGGTAAGACACTGGCCCATATGTCTGTTACAAGGGTAGTTTAAAACCCTCTCTGATGTAGAATCAAAATGTTTCTCTTTCTCAGCAGACTGGAAAAAACATGGCATGGAGAGGGTACTAAGAGGGAATTAAGTAGGAAAGGCCCTAAATGTACCTGGTTTTTAAATAAAAAAACAAAACAAAACAAAAAACTCCCAGGTTTATTCTAGGGTCTCTGTCATGGGTAGGAGGCTAACAACTATTAAAAGTAAAATAGAACAGAATAAAACATTTCAAATTACAGTTACCTTGACTATGCCACAAGTCTTAACAGTCAGTTTAAGAATGCCTCCTTTGAACAGCCATAGAATCCTAACCTTTATTGAGTCACTGCATGGACTTGGCAAATGAGCTGAAGGAATGGTGATTTGTGTGTGACTTGTGTTAAGCTGCTCACCATGGCCAGTGTGAAGTGGTTTTCAAGAGTCTGAGCAGACTTTGGCTGTTCATGTAGCTAATACAAGCACTATTCTCTCTTGGGAGTAAACTAACTCCTGAGTGTTTACTAAGGCCTTGCTTAAGAGAAAGCTACACTGGCTTAACTCAAATCCATTTTAAAATTGATTTAGTTAAACTAGTGACTCTGGATAGTTTGTCTTAAACCAAGCCTATTTTATATTAAGCTAAGCCAAAATAAGTGTCTCAGACATCAAGACTAGAAGGGACCATCATGATCATCTAGCTTGACCTTCTGCACATTGCAGGCTACAGAACCTCCCCCACCCGCTCCAGTAGTAGGCCCAAAATCTCTGGCTGAGTTACTAAGTCTTCAAATCTTTACTTAAAGACTTCAAGTTACAGCAAATCCACCATTTACTCTATTTCAAACCAGCCAGTGTCCTATGGCCCGTGGCATGGAGGAAGGTGACCCCACCCCCACAGACATTACCCCTCCCCCCCCCCCAGCAGGGTCTCTGCCAGTCTGACGAGGGAGAAATTCCTTCCAAACCCCAGATATAGTGATCAGTTAGACCCTGAGGATGTGGGCAAGATCCACAAACCAGGCACCCGGGAAAGAATTCTCTGTAGTAACTCAGAGCTCCCCCCATCTACTGTTCCATCTTCAGCTGCTGAAGACATTTGCTAACAGCCATCATGGTTGGGCCATATGCCACTGTAGGCAATCTCATCATATCATATCAACTTATCAAGCTCAGTCTTAAAACAAGTTATGTTTTTTGCCCCCGCTACTCCCCTTGGAAGACTGGTCCAGAACTTCACTCTTCTGTCTAATTTCAAGCCTCGACTTATTGATGGCCAGTTCATCTCCATTTGTTCTTGTGCCAGTTTTAGCCCTTAAGTTGTGTCCACACAAGCGGTTGCAGTGGTTTAAAACCCTTTTTAGGCTGTACCTACACTAGAAGCTAGCGGTGGGATTCCCCTCGTGAGCATAAATAACAGTGTAGCTGTGGTAGCGGCAGGGAGACACCGCTTAGTTGTATGCGTACGTACCCTGTGTACCCACTGGTTTCAGGCGGCTGTGAACTCGTTAGCAGTGCTGCCATAGCTACACCGCTATTTCTTCTCTCCTTAGCTCGATGAGAGCAAAATGGTAGCTCATAGCATAGACATAGCCTTAGGGTTGTCTACTTGAGAAAGTTGCACTAGTGTACCTAAGTATTAGGGTATGTCTACGCTTAAAAAACACATAACCCTGTGGCCTGAGCCTGGGCCAACTGCCTTGACTCATGGGGCTTGCACTGTGGGGTTAAGTAGCAATGTAGATACTTCCACTTGGGCTGGAGCTTGGGTTCTGAGACCCAGAGTGCGGGGAGGGTCTCAGAACGCAGACTCCAGCCCAAATGGGAATATCTATACTGCTATTTTTAGCCCGCTACTGCGAGCCTGAGTCTGTTGATCCAGGCTCCAAGACGCCACTGCCAAGGGATTTTTGTTGTTTGCAGTGTAGGTGTACCATTAGATATAGAGGGGCAGGGCAGCAACTTTCTCACTGATATTCACTGCTCTTTGGATAGCCATCAGTGTATCTTCTGGGCACAGACAAGGCCTGCTACTGATGAAGCTATGGCTAGTTGCATCACTGTTTCAGTCTATTATAACCATCCTGGTAATATTTGCTAAATCAGGTTTTGATTGCCCTGTTGTACTAATAAAATATTGGTTTCCCCTACACTCTTCTCCCTCTTGATCAGTGATAGCAAACAGCTTCCATGACTAATAATATGAAGTACTATCCATCTTCAGTGCTGTACAGACCCTAACTAAACTAATCATGGGAGCTCGCTTTCCTGTGGGCATAGCAATAAAGTAAAAAAGTGACTGCAGTGTGAGTGGGACTGAAGAAAGAGGGTCATGTTTCAATAGGGACCTAACTGGGTATGATACCTAGATTTCAGGAATGCAACTGGTGGCCAGGCTTACGGTGGCAAACACTGGCCTCCGTGCCTGATCAGTAAAGGCCTTTCCTACAACTCTGCATGTCCCATCATTTTATTACTAATAAAACAGTGACCAGTAGGCAATCATCATGCCTCTTAATGGCAGAGGCCAAAGACTGAATGGGCCACAGAGACATCCTACCATCTCTCGTTTAAAATTTTTCCTGCAAGTTAGGGGTCAAACACATTGGTAGAGCCATGGGTGGCAGGTATCATAGGCTGGGGAAGGCTGTGCCTTCCCAAACTGCCAGGTGTGGCTCCACCCATGCTCCGCCCCCAGGCACCCTCCTGGTTCCTGCTCTGGCTCTTCCCAGTTCCCCTGTGACATGGCTCCCTCTTGCGCGGCCCCAATGCCAGCCCCAGCCCGCGCCACCCGCCCTCCCTCCCGGTGCTGGGGAGGATGGGACCGCACCTCCCAGCGCTGGGGGCGCTAGCCTGGGGTGGGGGCCAGTAGCTGCCTTGAGGAGGCTCTGGGGTCCGGCGGGGCCTTGGTTGAAGGGGCAAGGCTTCGGGCAGAAGGGGCTAGCCTCCCTGAGCCAGCCGTCCACATGCCGCCCATGGGTAGAGCAATGTAGGGAACATTGCAATGCTACTGCCAAGCCTGTTCTGTGGATAAGTGAAGGATCTCTGCTTCAAAGGCTATCAGAGGACACTTTCTACCAGCCCTGTGCTTCACTCCAATTTCTTAAAGAATAAGATTTGGTCTGATTCAGAGGAATCTACAGTACCTGACGCTTACTGACTCATCTTTGGTCTAGAAACAGAAGTGAAGATTCCACAGGAGCCAGCATTATCTGTGATATCACCAGGTCTTCCTGGTCTCTGAGTAGACTGGCCTAAAGCCAAAGCTGCAGAAGACAGTATAAATAATTGCTTTTGGGACCACTGGGGAGTGTTCAGCAGCAGGCCCTATTAAACTTTTAATAGGGTGCAGTGTGACCATTTGGCTGTATGGAAGGACCTCCCCAGTCATATCACTCTTCTGCTGCTAGCTCAAGAGTCCCCTATTTCCTCACATGTCACTGGTATACAATTGGCCAAGATTAAGACTGCACTCCTACAGTGGAGCAAATCACAAGGGAGGAGGAAGACTCCTTGTGCCCTCTCCCGTCTCTTGCATGCTTATGCAGGACAAGGCACAATATTGTCCATTAATATTTTGTGGTTTTGGTTTTTTTTTTCCAAAGCCTAGGGGATTTTGGATGCCTAACTCTAGCTCCAATTAAATGAGTAATTAGGCATCAATTGTTTGAGCAACTTTGAAAATCCCAGTCATCATTCTCCGTACAGATGGGCCTGGGCTGCCAAGTTCAGCTCCAGATCTGAACTTCTCTAGAGTTCAGTTGGGCTCCTGGGCTATATAAGTTTTGAGATGTTGTTCTTCATTGCTGTCATTAGACTCCTATCTTTGCCTGTTGAATAGGCTCTTAAGTTTCCCCCTTATAGTATGGTAATTATCCTCATCATATTAAAGTGCAGAAGAAACTTCAGTAAGGAAAATAAAAACAGACTGTACTCATGGTGGCAAACTTTTTATTTCCTTTAATGTTCTGTTTTTATGTCTTACTGCCTGGACCTATCCCACTAATAAGCTTTTAATGACTGTTCCCACTGATATCATAGTACTTCATTCTTTGCATGCCGCCTTTATTTTCTACAAGAAAAATCAATTAAGCACCATGCCTCCCTGACCCCTTCTTGTATTAAGGCTTATCCCAACAATTAGGATTGCATTATAGCATTCCATCTTTTTTAATTTTTGTTCTACAGACATTCCAGCAAGTCAGGTGTCAGTGCAAAGATTAACTTTATTGCAGCACAGCACGTAGTTTAGCTCACGTTGGTATGAAACCACTTCAGTGGCCTAATTACAATGCCTACATAATTCTTTTTTTTTAACAAGACTGACTAACTTTTGGGCCAGAGTTACTTTTGCAGTGGTTTCCTTGATAATGGGATACAGCATAGCCAGAGGGCAGCAGGAGACTGATAGAGGGGAGATATGTAAGCCCCAGGATGATGAGAGCCTTATTTCCTGTAGAGGGAAGAGAGGTTGCTATAGATAGAGCACCCGAAGCCAGTCACCTGATCAAAAAAAACCCCTGCTTCAATCAGACAAGGGGAAGGAGTTGAAGCAAAGTGGTTTGGTGTTGAAGCAGAGAGCAGTTTGGAGGGAAGCAGAGGAGAGTTTGGAGAAGTGCTGTGGCAGGCTAGAAGACCAAGACCCTAGGTAAAGGGAAACTTGGCTTGTGCAGAGAGAGGGCAGGAAGCCCCACAAGCTGAAGGGCCAGAGAGGGAAGTAGCTCAGGGGAAGGAATCGCTAGTTCAAATGGTTTGCTGCTATCCCTAGGGCCCCTGGGCTGGGACCCGGAGTAGAGGGTGGGCCTGGGTCCCTCGCTGTCCACTCCCCTTCTCTGGGAAACTAGTGGGACAGTTGATACCCCAGATCAGGGGCAAGAAACGGTGCCCTGAACCCCCCCCAAGAAGAGAAAGTGTGGGACCCATCTTAGTAGTGCCAACAATTTGCCACAATAACTTATTTCTATGTGAATATGGTAGGTTTCA